TTAGATGTATGATAGGGGTATGCTATGTTATGAACTCACGATGCGATGATTGTCTCACTCAGCTATGAGCTGACTCTCTTTTATTCTTTTCCTCTGCTTATGCTATGTGTAAGCAGATCATTAGCAGTAGCAAGTACTTAGGTGTGGGCAGAGCGAGGAGTTAAAGGCAGGATGAGGTATTGTCTTCAACTATTTTGTGCTTGGACGACTACTTGAGATTTTGGCCAGTGATCCACACCTTTTTGTAAAATGTTTTGAGAACGTTTTTCATGTGCATACTAGCTCCTGATGTAGTGTGAGATATCCACATGTGTGGAAAGTTGATTATATGTGTATATGTGTGTGGTGGTGTATGTAGTGATGATTATGACACGTATAAGTATGGTATGTAGTTGCAGAGTACGAAAGTGTGACTATAGCTATGAAAGCCAATGTACATGGTTGTGAGTATATATGTTTGTCTATGAATGTATGTATTCAGATGAATTATTTTGCAAGTCTAGTTACAAGAACTGTTAGCCCATTACGTGAGTAATTCATGACGAAATTTTATTTGATTTTTGGTAATTAATGTAACACCAGTTTTAAATTCCGCTGCAATTGTGTGAACAATATGATTAGGCAAAACGTATAGGGTAGGGCGTTACAGCAAAGGGGTACCATCACAGATTTTGGGCGAGATTTCAAAAATGTCATTTTCTTTTGATCTTGAGGCTAGACATTACGGAATCAGGCCGAGGCTATTTTCCACCGATAGTGAAGTCTATTGATCCTATTCTCCACGGATGATAAGTTCATTAAGCACCGATTTGGGCAAATTTATTTTTGGATGACATTTTCCTAATTTTGTGGGTGTCGAAAGGCCATGTTCTTTGGATTTTGAAGGCTACAGATTAGGGATTCGCCCTGATGCTATTATTCAACGAAGATTAACTCCATTAAGCATCGATTTGGGCGGATTTATTACGAGTCTATTTTTGGCAGATTGCAAAGGGGTACCATCACAGATTTTGGGCGAGATTTTAAAAATGTCATTTTCTTTCGATTATGGAGGCTACAGATCACGGAATCAGGGCGAGGCTATTCTCCACCGATAATGAAGTCTATTGATCCTATTCTCCACAGATGATAAGTCCATTAATCACCGATTGGGCCAATTTATTTTCGGATGACATTTTCTTAATTTTGTGGGCGTCGAAAGGCCATTTTCTTTGGATTTTGAAGGCTACAGATCCGGGATTCTGCCTGATGCTATTCTTCAACGATGATTAAGTCCATTAAGCATCGATATGGGCGGATTTATTCCGGATCAATTTTTAGCAGATTGCAAAGGTGTACCATCACAGATTTTGGGCGAGATTTTCCAAAATGTCCTTTTCTTTCGATTCTGGAGATCAAGGATCACGAAATTAGGGCGAAGCTATTCTCCACCGATAATGAAGTCTATTGATCCTATTCTCCACGGATTATATGTCCATTAAGCACCGATTTGGGCCAATTTATTTTCGGATGGCATTTTCGTAATTTTGTGGGCGTCGAAAGGCCATTTTCTTTGGATTTTGAAGTCTGCAGATCACAGATTTGGCCTGAGGTTATTCTTCAACGATGATTAAGTCCATTAAGCACCGATTTGGGCGGATTTATTCTGGGTCAATTTTTGGGAGGTTGCACAGATTTTCGACGATTTTTCTGAAATGCAATTTTCTTTCGATTCTGGAGGCTACATATCCTGGAATCAGGCCTAGGCTATTCTCCACCGATAATGAAGTCTATTGATCCTATTCTCCACGGATGATAAGTTCATTAAGCATCGATTTGGGCCAATTTATTTTCGGATGCCATTTTCGTAATTTTGTCGGGGTCGAAAGGCCTAGGCTATTCTCCACCGATAATGAAGTCTATTAAGCACTGATTTGGGTGGATTTCTTCCGAGTCTATTTTTGGCAGACTCCAAAGGGGTACAATCACTAATTTATTGCGATTTTCCTGAAATGTCATTTTCTTTCGATTTTGGAGTCTACAGATCACAAACTCAACACGAGGCAATTCTCCACTGATAATGAAGTCTATTGATCCTATTCTCCACCGACGATAAGTCTATTTAGCACCGAATTGGGCCAATTTATTTTGGGATAACATTTTCGTAATTTTTTGTCTGATGTTTTTTTTTCAAAAGGCTATTTTCCTTTGATTTTGAAGGCTACTGATCATGGATTCGACGTGAGGCTATTCTTCAACGATGACTAGCTCCATTAAGCACTAATTTGTGCGGATTTCTTCCGGGTTCATATTTGGTAGATTCAAAAGAGGTACCATCACCGATTTCAAGTGATTTTTCCGAAATGCAGTTTCCTTTCTATTTTGGAGGCTAAAGATCACGGATTCGGGCCGAGGATATTCTCCACCAATAATGAAGTCTATTGATCCTATTCTCTACGATGATTAAGTCCATTAAGCACCAAATTGGGGCAATGAAACACAGAATGTCATTTTTGTAATTTTTATGCTATTTTTTTTTTCCCCCGAAAGGCCATTTTCCTTTGATTTTGAAGGCTACAGATCAAGGATTTGGCTTGAGGCTATTCTTCAACGTTGATTAAGTCAATTAAACAACTATTTAGGCGGATTTATTCCAGGTGCATTTTTGTCACCATCATTGATTTCGGGCAATTTTTTCGAAATGCCATTTTATTTCAATTTTGGAGACTACAGATCACGGATTTGGCTCGAAGCTATTCTCCGCCGATAATGAAGTCTATTGATCCTATTCTCCACCTAATATTAAGTCCATTAAGCACCGAATTAGACCAACTTATTTTGGGATGACATTTTCGTAATTTTGGCGATTTTATTTCGAAATGCCATTTTCTTTGGATTTTGAAAGCTACACATCACGGATTCGGCTTGATGCTATTCTTCAACGATGATTAAGTCCATTAATCCCCGATTTCGCCGGATTTCTTCAAGGTTCATTTTTGGCAGATTCGAAAGGTGTACTATCACTGATTTCGGGCAATTTTTTCGAAATGCAATTTTCTTTCGATTTTGGAAGTTACAGATCACGGATTCGGGCCGAGGTTATTTTCTGCCAATAATGAAGTCTAGATCATATTCTCCACGATGATTAAGTCCATTAAGCACCAAATTGGGCCAATTTATTTTGGGATGACATTTTCATAATTTTTTGGGAAAGTTTTTTTTTTAAGGTTGTTTTCCTATGATTTTGAAGACTGCAAATCACGGATCCGGCTTGAGGCTATTCTTCAACGATGACTAAGTCCATTAAGCCCCTATTTGGGCGGATTTCTTTCGGGTCCATTTTTGGCAGATTCGAAAGGGGTACCGCACCGATTTCGGGCGATTCTTCAACGATGACTAAGTCCATTAAGCCCCTATTTGGGCGAATTTCTTTCGGGTCCATTTTTGGCAGATTCGAAAGGGGTACCGCACCGATTTCGGGCGATTTTTCCGAAATGCCATTTTCTTTCGATTTTGGAGGCTACAGATCACGGATTCTCCACTAATAATGAAGTATATTGATCCTATTCTCCACCGACAATTAAGTTCATTAAGCATCAAATTGGGTTAGTTTTGTTTGTGATAGCATTTTCGTAATTTTCTGGAAGATTTTTTTTCGAAAGTCCATTGTCCTTTAATTTTGAAGGGTACAGATTACAGTTTCGGCTAGAGGTTATTCTTCAACGATGATTAAGTTCATTAAACACCGATTTGGGCGGATTTATTTTGGGTGCATCTTTTGTAGATACAAAACGGGTACCATCACCGATTTCGGCCGATTTTTTTTAAATGAAATTTTCTCTCAATTTTGGAGGCTAAATGTAACATCCCGAAACGCGAATATTTTTTTTTTCAAATGGCGGACGTATGTTGTACGACTCAAGGCTGGAAAAAAAAATCTAGAAGTTATGTCATACGAGGTAGGATCCTTTAAACCAATCGGAAACTCTCCAACCTTTGTTGGAATAAAAGTAGAGACCTTCTGGCAATAAGGCAAGAGCTAGTAGCTTAACTAGCTGTGCCAGCTGCAATCCATGTTAATGTAAGCACCCTGGTCACTTTTAACCCCTTGTGACCGCGTACACTAGCAGCAACACCAATTTATTTAGCGGTGCCTGCTCTTGAAACTTGGAAGGGGACACTATGATTCTGAAACATGAAGGCTGCCTTCTACGGGCATTCAAGGCACCTACGGAGAGTAAAAAAGGGGAGGATGAGTTTGAACAGCCTTTAAAGTGCTTGAATGCAATCTAATAACGAATATCTCAATCAATTAAGAATACCTTCTTTCTATTCTCTCATGCAGAGAATACGGGAGAAAATTAATAATGAAACCAGAAAAAAGCAAAGAGAAGTCCATCTCTGTCTGCCCCATTATTGATACAAAAAATATGACAATTAGAGAAGAAGATTTGCCTGGTACAAAGAATTTAAAGCTCCTTAAAGTTAGGTGTTCAGTGATCTTCTAGGACAGGCAACTCAAGGCCTGCAGCCTGCAGGTATTCTCTTATCAAGAAGAAGAAAACAATGTATACTATTAGTTCAGGAGAAGACAGCAACTTTAGTTGATGCTCTTTGAGCACTTTTTGATTAATCTATGGCCGAAAATGGACTGGAGCAAAATACACATCGACCTCGTCTCTTGGAGCTCATAAACACACCTGTTACCTGTATAAAGGTAAAAGAATTTTCATAGCATCTGCCCGAGTAACTCAATGTTGGAGCCTCATTCCACTTACTAGCTCATATTTTGCAGCACTAGAAGCAAAGAAACCAGAACTAGCATTTGCGCCATTCAACCCATGATTCTATGTGAAATCTGACATGGTGGGCTAAACAAACTGTAGGCTATTATTTTGAAATGGTCGATAACAAAACCTAACTTCACCATCAACTGCAGGACTCTCAAGAATATAAGAGTAAGAGACAGCTAGTCCAAAATGCTAGAGCGAACTGCTCCAGTTATAATGTTGTGTGCCAGCGGTACAAAAGTGATCTTCAATATATTTATCAGCTCAAAGAGACTCTAGGAAACCTAAAGAAGTAACAAACACATGCTTTAGATGACCCATAATAACCATATGAAGCATATGGCATTAAATACTTACTGAGGCCCATCAATCACACTAGTAAGCATGAGTTGAATGGGGAAAATATTTCACATTTGCTATCTGCCTTAATAAAGGCTAAATAAGAGTTCATATTTCATCTTTGATCATTATCACATTTGCTTCCCAATTTCACAATGCTGCTTCCAGAAAAAGGAAGCAGAAAATATCTCCACCTAAAGCTTTAGTGGAATACAGAAATCAGAAACCTCGCCTCTTCCCAAGGCCTTCTGTTACTACATACATGGCTGGAAGCCAATGAACTCAAGTCTACGTCTCTCTACGTTCTCAATAGAACGTTGAGCATTCTGATACAAAACTTAACTCGACTAAGTGAATAGCAAGGCTAGCGAACCAAGATTATCAACGGAAAGTAAGCAGGCAGGATATGACCAGTAAACCCCTGTATCGATTCTAAAGGACCAAGATCCCCGATGAATCACAAACTAGATTGGGCGTTTACCCCTGTTGCATATTGTTCTCCAAGTCAAAAGCTTTCTCCCAGTCATCTGCCACTTCCAACTGCTCGGATGATGGCCTTATTACTACTGAATCAAGAAGAGCCCCACCTCGGACCTCACTTCTAACCACCGATGAAGCAGCAGCAGCAGTGCTGGAAGCCGTCACAGTGTCTAGAATGCTCCAGCGATTAACCGATGCAGTAATTGCAGAAGCTACTTCCTTTTGTTTCCAAGGAGAAGAATCACTGGATCCACTAGGCTGCTCTTCACCACCCCAAACATCTTCACCAACAGCCTTTTTCCATGCATTATTTCCCTTCAATGCTGCAGTCACTCCATCTTTGGGGGTACTCCATGCATTAGCTGTTGCACCACTGTTCTGAAGAATCACAACGACACCATGATAAGCAGATGCATGATCCAACCTCCTAAGGGCAGTTGCTGCGCGAGCAGGATCGTTGAAAACCGCCAATGCATTCTTATCATTCAACCATATCAGCTCACACTCCCCACCAAATCTAAGCACCAAAGAGCTTATGTCCGACTCCCTAGGCAAATCAAGGAAAGAAACAACAAGCCTGGGATCCATGTCAACAAGGGCATCAAAAGCAGGTGGGTGCAGACTCGTGGCAGTAGCTACCCCTTTGACACAAATCACTCGTTGTGGTGGTCTAGACTTGGGAGTTGCATGAAGAACAACAAACCGCTTGGGTTCCCACCCAGCAACATTGATTGCTAGCTTCCACCTCTCTGCTATCAGCCTAATTGCATCTCTCTTGTCCTTCAGCATCGGGCAGAAGACATGAACCTTAAGACCACCACTCACAGTTCCCCCCCTGTTCTTACCAAGGACAAGGCACTTGCACCTCTCTTCAACAGCAAGAACCCATTTTGGATCACGCCTATATAAATCCGAAAGCAACTCGGAAACAGCCGAGTTCTCGCCAAAATGAAGAGCATCCAAGTTGGGGGTATTAATGTCAAAAGCATCAGCAAGAACCTTCTTCCGTTCTGATTTAGCACATTCTTCATCACAAGTAAGCTTCCTTTGGCTAAGTGGAATCTTCTTACTACCAGTTGCTGATTCCACTTGCTGAAGGGGTGCTGGTAGCTTCTGGGCTATTGAAGCTTCAAAAACTGTATCAGCACTGAAACCACCACTTGTCCCTCCAGCATCACAAGGAACACTGGCTGCTATCCTCCCACATGAGCAAGTAATTGTGACTGGAAACTCACATCTGGCATCGGGGCAAGGAGCAGTAGGATGACAAAGTGCAGCACAAGTATGCCTGCAGTCCCTTCTGGGGGCCCCACATATCTGGCGACAAGAAGCTCTCCCTGCTCCTACTTCAGAGGAAGATGAAGAGTCACACGGTGCTGGATGACATGTCCGCCCACATGCATGAAGACCACACTGCCTAGTTTTACCACAGAGCTTGTTGCACCTTATATTTTTCGAACCGCAAGGTATGTTTTTGAGAACCACATGTCCACCAACACACTCCTTTGCAATAGGGACAGAACAAGGCGGACAGTCTCCATGGTGGCAGTTATGAGAAGCTGCATGACCACAAAGCCGAGGAACCGAACAGGGGAGTTGACATGATGGTAGTGGTGTACCACAGGGCAAGGGGGGAGGGATTGAAGTCCTTCCACATGCACAGCTCAGATCAACAAAGATTGTCTCGAGACAAGGAGGGCAATGACCACTGTGACATAGCGACTCACAAGAATGCAGGCCACACCTCAACTTCTTGCCACAGGCCATTTGGCATAAGTGCGGATTCCAGTCTTCAGAGAAAGAAGTAGTTGAGTTATTAGAAAGAGGGCAGCAACGTTCACTACACCGATGTCTCCCGCAATTCTTCTTTCGTCCACAAGGCTTGTCACACTTGAACTGTTCATTGATATCACTTTTTTTATAGCAGGCCACAGTTCTTGATGTTGATCCACAACAACAATTTTGGGTGACATTGACCATACAAGGAGGGCAATCTCCAGAATGGCACAGGTCCGTACAGTTGTGAACCCCACAGCGAAGAAGCTTGCCACAAACCTGCATACAGTTAGGGATCCGGTCCAAACAACACTTCCTTTCCTCCACCAAGCTCGCCTTCCCACAATAACAAGACTTGACCCTTCCTGGCATCAAATCACAATCTCCACAAGGACCTGGATGACATACTTCAGTACATTCATGGTTAGCACAAGCAAGCATCTTCCCACACATGAAATTGCAAGAAAAGACACCTTCTTCAACATTCACCTCTCCCTTCACAGACATGTCTCCGCATAATATATCCTCCTCTTTTTTCTTACAAAAACATGAAGCTGTAACCGGAATTTCGCACGGATCACAAGGACCAAGATGGCAAATCCTTTCACAACGATGACGCTGACAATCGAGAAGCTTATCACATTGCTGACCACATGTGAGAACAGATTGACGTTCAGAGCACCTAGTGGTGATGGTGCTCTTCCCACAAGGGCACAAGCGTTGTGGAGCAAATGATTTGCAAGGTGGGCATGGACCTGGATGGCACTGCAACACACAGACATGAGGGCAAGAATCCTCATCATTACTCTCTAGGTTGGTGCCTGGCAAATGCTTCTCGAGGGGCTTCCCACATGGCTCACCACATGAATGAGGAGTCAAGTACAAATCAGAGGGTGGATCTGTTCTTTTCCCACAAAAGCAAACATAACGAATCTCTTTCAATGGTGTCAGTTGCACGTACTGGCAGCCCGGGCAGCGCCAGTTAAAACCCTGGTTTTTATCGGCAGACAAGTCGACGGAAGTAGGAGCCTTAGCCCATCTCTTGATACAATTGAGATGAAAAATGGAGTAACAGCTGGAACAAGACCAAATAGGAGCAGACCTTCGCACCATATCATAACAAATCATACACTCAACAGTGCTCTTTGCAAGTTTCTCCTGAATTTCTTGCACCAGTTGTGGCATATTTGCATCCTTCAACTCTTTCAATGTTTGTGGCTGACCCTTCTCCCTTTCCTTATCCCTCCTGTGGTTTGTGGGGCAACCCACGTTATTCCGAGAAGAATTAATGATGCCTCTGGGTCTGGGTTGAGGAGCAACATAATTACTGGTGCCTCTGGGTCTTGGATCCGGGACAGCTGAATGACTGGTGCCTCTGTGTCTTGATTCAGGGACGGTTGAATGACTGGTGCCTCTTTCATCGACATTGGAAATGGAAGTCGGAGGAGGTAGATTTAAGGAAACTGTGGAGGGGGCATGTCCTCTGGGAACCCAAGTCTGGCGCACGGTTTGAGAGGGTAATCTAGACCTGTCCCTTCTATCGCTTCTGGTTTGGGAGCTCATATCTGACTCTGAGCTGACTTCCAACAAGCAATGAGACAGCCCCAGAACTTCAAAAGGAACCGACGACACTGGAACCTACACATAAATGATTGCAACCATCAGTCACCTTTGATTTGATTGATGAAAGGAATGATCAAAATCAAAACTATCACGCAGAGCATACCATTATCAAGCTACCACCCAAAGTAATGGATAACTCGTTAATCCTAAACCTAAATTCCTCTAAACACAAAACGAAAGCAGGATCACTCGCATGCACAGAAGGAAAACTAAGGCGCGATCCCACTGAAAATTCCATAAGACGCTCTTCGGAAACAACCGAGATTTAAAAAGCTAGCGAATCGAGAACGCACCTGACCGTGACCGGAAATGATCGAAGCGCAAGAGGTAAAGGATCTCGGCCGTTAACGACTATCTCAATTCGGCGAATGTCAAATTCGACCGACTGCGAGTCGGATAAATGCCGCCAGAAGCCACCAAATGCGACGACAGAGGAAAATCGAGGAGTCCTCGCCGAGGTGAGGAAGGGGAAACGAGGCGGAGCTTTTCGCGTGTACCGACTGCGCGAAATAAAGAGCGGTTAGTTGCTGTTGTAAATTGTCAGAAAACGCATTTCGGTTTTAATAATTTTCGTTTACTTGATTTATTCATTATTTCATGAGAGTGTCAATTTTTGTGCGCCCTTGGATATCAATTGTACGGTGGATATGCCGTGTAGAAACCGGCTTGATAAGCCGAAGGGTACAGAACTTACAAAGCGGTTTTATATTTTATATTTTGTGTCTTTAGCACGCACCGTGCGCAGCAAGTTGAGCGACGCGAGGGGTTTTCGGTTGGGATTGCTAAATCTCGTCCTATCGCTTGTGGAAATTGGGATAGGTGTGATTGCCCGTCCCACATTTTGCAGGTTAACTACATTTACAAATATAAAATTATTCTACTCACAACCCACCTCGCAGTGGATAGTGGTTAATCACTACTTGTAGCGGCGGATCTAGAACACAGAAGAGCAATGAGCCGCATTTTATTAGAAAATTAGAACCATATAAAAAATTAATGATTATAATTTTTTTACAATGTAAATTGTACACTACGGTATCTTAATTTAGCAAATGCATCAAAATGTAGTCCACATCCATATAGGGATGGCAACAAAATCCGAACCCACGGGTACCACCCGACCCAACCCGGTCAATGCGGGTAAAACCCGTGTTGACGGGTTTTGGGTCGGGTTCGGGTTTAAACCCGCTACACTATTCACCGGGTCGGGTTGGGTTTGGGTTTAGGTAAACCCGCCCCATGGGTACCCTCTCACACACATATAATTACTTTCCCGGTATATTTAATATTCTAAATAATATATCTTCCTTAAACAACTAATATTCTTTATGTTTGTGGAGACATGTATAATTTGTTCTTTCTAATTCTTTAGAATGAAGTTGATATTATGAAGCGGAGAGTGAAGAAACTTAGTTGACGAGGAAGAAGTTTTCAATTAATCTTATTGTTTATAGATGTTTATCTTTAATTTTGAACAATTTGTATTGATCATTTGCGGTTTGCTTGTATGCTCTAGATTGGTGTTTTTTGTATGATTAATTTGTATGAGAAAATTGATGTTAAACTTTTATTTTGAAAGAAACTTGTTATTGTAAATTTTTTACCACAAAAACCCACGGGTACCCATAAACCCGCGGATACCCAGCGGGTTGGGTTGGGTTTGAGTTTTTCAAACCCAACGGGTTTTACCCCAGGTTTTTTTGGCAGATAAACCCATGGATTTGGGTTTGACAAAATCCGCCCCAACCCGACCCATTGTCATCCCTACATCCATACCAATAGTATACATTGTACCAAATAAAATACTTGAGCAATTGGCAAGAAATTCATCGCTCATTTATTGTGCAAATCAGTTTTTACATGTTTCTTTGTTCAAAAGGTTCTCTCAGGTTCTCTCTGTAGTAGTTGTTGAAACGAGCAGCGTCAACACTAGACAAATCAATATCAATTTGCATTATGTGTCCATCCCTATACCACCAGTTGTCTAGTAAATTTTCAAGGTAACAAACCTCAAATTTCTTTTAGTCTAGTATGCTTTAGAATTTTAGGTTTCATTGTTTTTTTTAGACAAAAAAATCTTTGGGCTAGAATTTCTAGGCTAAATTTAGAGTAGTGATTTAAATATGTTCATCTAAATCAATTTGCTAATTAAAAAAAGTTTGTAACATTTGGATTTTGGAGCACAAAGTTATGATCGTCCAAAGTTTGGCAAAATTGAAAAATTGCTCTTTCAGGGTAGCAAACGACATTTTTTCGTGACGAAGGCAGGACTTGCAAGATCTCGAAAAGTTATGCAGAATAAAAAAAAATTCACTATGATCGGATACCCGAGCACAAAGATACATTCGTTTGAAGTTTCCACCTAGGTTAGGAATGATTGAAAAAAAATTGGGCCAAACCGCCCCCTACCCGCGTCCTCACCCTGCGGTTTTCGTGTAAACCGCTGGGTTGGGTGGTGATTTGTGGGAAAAGGTGGTATTTTTAGAATTTTTCAAAATTGGGTGGTATTTTTAGAATTTTTTATTTTTAGTCGTATTTCTTGGAAAAATCCGACTTGTCATCCGTAAAGATGAAAAGTACATATGTTTTTCTTGTGACCTCATTTACCGATTGAGCACATTCAAATGTGGGTAATACCCAGATAACTTGCTTAAAAATATAAAAGAAAAAAAGTTCATGATTATCAGTAATATTGTTATACACATGAAATTGGCAAATATCTTGGTGTCAAATGACTAACTTATATTTGTATTTTTTAGTAATTCCATTATATAAGATAAAGCCACATAAATATGTGACTGTGATATGTCTATTACTCAGCAAACTGACATTTTAACTTTCATAGTTTTATCTCCTACTAATGGAGCAACCACACAAAAAAGTTGTAATTGTTTTCTAATAAATCACAATTAAAATGTAGGACTTTGCTATGGTGACATGCACTTTTCGGTCGATCTCATATAAGATTAGGTCGACCTAATCTGTTGTTTCAGTGTAAAAACAGTTTCATGGTGTCTACTTTGGAGATTCATATCTTACAATTGGCTAGATGGAAATTGGAGATTAAAGGCTTGTTTTGAAGCTGAAGTGTCCCTCTACACATTAAAGTACTTGAGAGCTCAATAGAAAGTCCAGAAGACCATTTTTGAACCTGACCAAAAGGCTATGCCAAAACTGGGAAACTGCCTGAAAATGGCTAAGTCTGACAACGTGTTTGTCAAGCCTACTTTGGAGCTCAATTTGAGAAGCATGGATGCGAGTCAAGTCCAGGGGCCTCTACCACGTTAAATTACGTATTTTTTATACAAAGGCAAGGCATTGGATGAAAGATTGAATATCTTTAAGGATTCAAACAAAAGGCTCGACGTTGCTACGAAGGCTGTTTTTCTGGAAGCTTGCTTGTGCTCGAAGTCTGCCAGAAAAACAACCTTCGTAGCAACTTCGACCCTTTTGTTTGAAGCCTTACAGATATCCAATCTGTCATCCAATGCCTTGAATTTGTATAAAAACATACCTAATTTAACGTGGTAGAGGCTCCTGGACTCGACTCGCATTCATGCTTCTCGAATTGAGCTCCAAAATAGGCTTCACTAACACGTTTTCAGACTTAGCCATTTCCAGGCAGTTTCCCATTTTGGCATTGCCTTTTGATGAGGTTCAAAAATGGTCTTCTGGACTTCCTATCGAGCTCTCAATCACTTCAATATGTAGAGGGACACTCCAGCTTCAAAACAAGTCATTAGTCTTCAATTTCCATCTATCCAATTGTATGATATGAATATCCAAAGTAGGCACCATGAACTATTTTTACACTGAAACAACAAATTAGGTCGACCCGATCCTATATGAGGTCGACCGAATCCTAAATGAGGTCGACCAGATCCTATATGAGGTCGACCGAATCCTAAATGAGGTCGACCATATCCTATATGAGGTCGACCGAATTCTAAATGAAGTCGACCTTATCCTAACTGAGGTCGACCGGAAAGTGCAAGTCACCGTGACATGCATGTCACCGTAGACACACCCTAAAATGTATTGGTCCAAAGATTTAGAATAATATATAAAAATTTACATTATTGGAATTTTAGGTTGATATTTGATTTCTCATTTTTAATTTGCAATGAGTAGTTCGATTTGTGGACCCTAGAGGTTCCAAAGATTGTTTTTATAATGGTTTAATTATAGTATGATATTATTGAGTAGTTTTGTATCCTTATCATTTATTGGTATTTATTATATTACTTATTGGTGCTTCGTTTGAGATTGATTGGAAACAACTTTCCATTGTTGTGATGGCAATATATTCATTCATAGTATCTAAAAATATATTATAGCAGAGTTGTGAGCAGTTTTTCAGCATTTCAAATTTCCTGCAACGAGAGAAATAGTATAAATGGCAATTATGTATTTACAATCATTATTTATTTTTTATTCATAAAAAAGAAAAAAAAAACATCAATCTCAGGGTTTGAACGATGATCTATTCAAACAAAAGACAACAATCGTTACCAATTATACTAAAGAAATATTTTGTATTTTTTTAAATACAAAATCTGAAAACCTAAATTCTAAAGATCATATGATTTTTCCTCTACTGTTAGTGTTAGCTAGCCCATAACTCTCCCGTAAGTACTTTGTTTGTTATATTTAATATTTGCATTTTTATATTTTGATCATTTTAATTTGAGTTTAATAATAAAAGAAATTTATGTCTATCTTATAAATGAAGGATAATTTCAAAATTGCAACCCAAATATCATTGATTCAAATTTTGCATATTGAATTGTAGTATTTAATATGTAGATGTGATGTAGAATTCTTAGCTTGGTATTCATTTTTAGAACTATTAAAGCAACATTATTTTTAAGCAAATTGTAAGTGACCAATTTTTTGAAAGTTGTAGTTTGGTTAACCGTTAAATCCTAAATCTCTTGATAATATGTCATGATTGGACAAATGGGTGAGTTTAAAAGAACACAATTTATGAATACCAATTTTTCTAGATGATTTCAATTAGTTAAATATTTTATCTTATATGATAATTGACAATATGTATCATTCATAGTTATTTAGTTTAATATGAAATAATCGCAGTACAAAACAAACCGTGAAAGTCGGGCAGGAGTTTTCATGGACGCATTGATGTGGTCATGTGCATTAGTAAGGTAGGTACCACAAGATAGGTTTAATTTTTTTGTTGAGTGAATAAGATTGTTCTTCAATTAAATTTAGAGCATGTTGGTTGATAATTAATTTTTTAGTTGCATGGAGTATGGATGAAAAATTTTATTTTCTTACTAATTTTGTTATTTTATGTGCAGAATACTTTAAGATTTAGATATTGCTATATATGTATTATTTCTCAAGCAAAAGAAATAAATATTGACTAAAGGTTATGATCATGAGTTTCCTATTTATGCTACGCTTTTTCAGACAAACTCTTTTTTTGTTATGTCAATTTTCTTTTCAACCATAGACAACTAAGTGACTATATCATTAAATAGACAAGTTATGAATGATTATTCACGAGTGTTATAACCAAGGTTTTTACACCTCTACCGGGCAGTTGGTTGGACAAGGACCAACGAAAGTCAAGCTAAAAAACGGGCTCTACAAAACCAAGGTTCTGATCGTTAGAGAGGGAGGAGAAGAGAGGGAAGGACTAAGGAGGAGGGGGAGGGGGAGAGGCATGGGGACGGTGAGTGAATCTTGAGATTGGTATGTACGTTTTATGTAATTTGAGTTATATATATATATATATATGGTGGCTTCTATCGTACCTTGGGTAAAATCTAGGGTACGACATACCATGAGTAAAAAAATGCTATCTAGACCTC